ATAAATTATTATTAATTATTTAATTATTGAATATATAAATACTTTAATGATATATATATATATATATATATATATATATATATATATACCTATATAGCATTAAGGATACCTATACAGCATTAAGGATTTACATATTCAATAACTAGATAATTAATAATAATTTATTTTTAAATTAATATTTGACGATTAATGCACGGTTTTTTATAACAATAATTACATAAATAATTAAATATAAATATTAAATATAAATAATATAATTAATATAAATAATATAATAAATAATATAAATAATATAAATATTATAATAACGAATATAAATATTATAATAACGAAATATTATACCATAACGAATATAATAAATAAAATAAATAAAAAATACAGAATTTTTATAAACAAATCACGATTATTAAAACTAGACATTCCGACCACTGAATTACTAACAATCAAACATATTCTGCATACCTCGACGCCTATGTGCTCAAGTATGTGTATGTAGAAGCCGCGTTTTATGTTTCGTGGATATTTTCGGGCCTTCTTAGCTCGTTGCCCCATTCGGTTTATAGTGGGGAGATCACCCGTCGACCGACAACGCTATTGGTTACTGAGATTGCGTTACTGCGTCTCTCGATGGGTGAAGGCATGAGAGGAATTCATCGTTGGTTTATTGAAGAAACGAAGAACTTCGAAATCTCGCGAGATCATGCTAGAGCACAAATAGAATCGAAATGTAGGCGGTAATTTATGCGCACAATTTTTGATCTCGAGATGCAACAAAATAGTAGGTAAGTCTTTATTTTAATCATATGTTTATCTTTAAATATTTTCTGAAAACAAAGCGTAATTTTTTCGAGAAATTTTATCTTAAATTTTTATTCATCTCAAACTATTAAATTTATTTTGAAATATATTTATTATTTTTTTTGAAAAAAGTTTCAAAATGACGTAGCAGTGTTTTTATAATAACACTTGCATAGAAACATATAAATAAAAAAATTGATGTCAAATAATCGCTATATATATTTTAAAGTTAAGCACTATATTTTAATTAAAACGCTATTTTAAATTTGTTGAAAAACTAAAAAATATACATATTTCTTACAAATATAAGTATTATTCACACCCTCTGCTTACAAGCCTACGATCCGAAATTTCTATCCTTCACGAGAAAAGCAATTCACTTTCGTTTTCTTCGGAAAAGGAACAATAATTCTAACTGAATAATTTTTATGCATCGAATCCTCGGGCATCTTTCTCACGCTGATCCTACGTAAGGGTGGCACGTGATCGAGCGAGAGACTTGCGCGTTCACAGATCAAACAAGTGTAAAGAGGCAGCGAGAGAAAAAGATTCGTTGCACATTCATGCCGCACGCCCTGTCGCCCCTCGTCAAACATCGCCATGTTCGACGCGCGCGGGTGAGAGATCCTTATCTTGAATCAAAGATGCAAAATCTCAGCTCGAGAGGCGAAGAAGGATTTCTCAGGTAAGACGCGTTATTTTAAAAGATTTCAAGATTTATAACAATGTGATCAGCCCCTTGAAATGTCGAGAATTAACTTTACTAATTTAAGGCTATTGATCAATATCTCGACAATATTCGATTCATGCATTTAAATTAATGTATAATTTAAAAAACAGAAAAAATTGTTCCTCTTCTCATTTCGAGGATGGTCATGCGTATAGTTAAAAAAACAGAGAGGAAAAAAAAGACAAAGAAGAAGAGAATAAAAGAAAAACAAAGATTTTCAAGTAATCAGAAATTTGAAATTATTTACATAAATCTCGGAATCTATTCTTAAGAATCTATTCAATTGAATTAATAATGATGATTATTAATAGAGATTAAAAATGAAAACCATATTTCTGGTGAAAACTGTGATCTAAAGACAGTTTTTAGACTAAGAAAGAATTTTGATATTAATTTTGAAAATAATTTTAGAGTTTGAGAATAATTTCAGAGAAAGGATGAATTAATTATTTAATTATTTAACAATCACTTGTGGGTGTAGCAATATTAATTTAAAAAGAGAAAAGGAAAATATTGTAATATTAAGTAATTTCTCTCTCAACATAATAAAATAAACATATTTCTTTATTTCACTCGCACAGAACCGAGATGGACGATAAAATTAATTAAAAATTTCACTTGTTCATTAATTGCGCAACATGTTCAAATACAATCCAATATTTCACACGTCGCTTCTCATATGCCGAAAATCTGGCGGCGAAAGGCGTTCTAATAAAGAAACATCGATCGATAATTCGGAAATAAGTAAGTTTTGCGCAGATACACTGATCGATCACATCGCGCAGTCGCATATATGTTACCTACGATCCCTCTAAAAAACAGGTTCTAAAAGAACCTGACCGAAAGTAAGTGACTATTAACGGCGGAATAGCTTTATAAAAATTTATCATCCCCGAGCTTAATAGTCCGTTCGAAGAACGAGTATCTCGGTTGACTACGATGCCGATAATAAAATACCAATGAACGGAGTGAAAGAGGTTCTCCCCTTCTTTACCCCAGACCCTCTCTGCCTAACTCGCGCTCGCGGCCTGTAAAGAAGTGGCATACATGTTCTGATTTTACACGCTAATCCCTCCTACGTAGGAGGACGCGCGTTGGTACCTGTCAAAAAATAGCAATGGGGTGTAACAATACTTCAAGAGACGGAGTCGGAATCTGGCAGAAGTTAACCGCCACGCAGCGGGGCTGCGAGTGGCTAGTTCGCCAGTTTCAAAGAGCAATGGCGTAAAATGATCGTTCTCATTTCTTTAAAATAAATTCGGGGAATTTTATATTAAGAAAAATGTGTGTATTCTTGAGATTAAAATGAAAATAAATAATAGATATTACGTGTTTTATTGTTAAGTATTTGTTAATGTTACAAATAAATGTCATATTTCGACTACGACAATTTATAATGGCATAAAATCAATTTAGTTGTACTTAAAAATTTTTATTTTGTTTTTGATTGTTACCGATATGACGCTTCTTTTGTACATTGCTTGCAAATTTATTGATTAGTAAGTTTAGCAGCAAAGAAGTCTGATTCAAACTAAAATTATTTTTAAAATACTTATAATTATGATTTATTTATATATAACTTTCTTTTCTATAAATTACTTTTGATTTTACATAAATGTTACATTATGAATAAATTTTATGCTACTATCTAAGGAGATAACAATAATTTGGTTGATCTCCTACGCCAATGAAAAATACTTTGCTGTAAGGATGTTGATGAGGACAAAGAGATCCTTTCCCTTTCTCATTCTTCTCTCTTACTTCAGGAACCTCCCCTTCTGCCATACCGTGGCAGCCCGTCATTGCACTAATGCAAGTCGCAGCCGTCCCACCACCGAACAACGGCGAACTGCAGCTGTCGGGGATACTCGGCCTTCACGTAGCTAATGCTTCTCCAAATACAACTCGGGGTACTTCGAGATACCATCAAAAAATTAACTTTAACGTAAGTTTAAATCTCAAATCTATCTGACTTGTATTCTTTCCAGATATATTTGAAATAAATTATTTATTCGAAGACGAAATTTATACAGCCATATATTTATTATTCCTTCAAATAAAAATTTAAATTTGTATCAGGACATTGAATTTTATATAATATTGCAAATTTTTTGTAAAAATTTATTAATACATAAAATTGTAAAATTTATTGTAAAATTTATTAATAATAATAATTTTTCTTTTTCATTAGAGTTTAATTTATAATTTCCATTTCTTTTGAATAAAAAAAGGTTTGTTAAAAATTAATATTTTATGCTTTACATAATAACATACGACAATAACATTATCGTTTCATATCCAAAATTTGCTTCATATGACATAAGAAAATATGATTAATAGACTAAAAATATTCGATGTGAAGAAATTGAAAATATTGCACAGTGAATTCTATAATATACTAAAAAAAATTATTATAAAAATGACTGATTCAATAATTTGTAGTTCGAATCTTTTTGAACTACATAATGTACTTTCTGTCTTTCTAACGGTTACGATTTACTATCTGAGTGTCTCTATTATACACATAATAAATTATAAAACGTTAGAGAGATAAAGAGAATCTCTTATCACAATACACTAGATTGGTTATTTTCTTTCAATGTTATAGGAATATAAGAAAACAGAATATAAAAAAACGGAATATAAGAAAACAGAATTTTCTTTATACCTAAACTTTTTGTATTTTTTATTTTTCCTTTCTCCTTCTTTCTAATTTTTAAATATGTATCTATCTTATTTTTACTATAGCAAGTGCAAGTCAAGAATAGGTAGGGGCAAAGAATAACTATTACCTGAAAAATGCTATTTGTTTGTGCAGTTCACTACTGTTCTTTTAGTTTAGAGTTAGACTTCGGATTGTCTAGCACAGTCTAACACGCGCTACCGAACTGTGAACAACGATCGGGTCTGCATAGAATTCGTGAATTTTAGTATCATAGAGTATGTGAATTTCAGTATCATATGTGGCGCTTTAGTAATTCGTTCAGTTTTTATTTAAAGTGCTGTCATAGTGAATCAATCATTTGTATATTTTATTTAGCGTGCATGTTGGCAATTAAAATGCATTCTGTTAACAAGAAATAGCCATCAAGTTACTAAAAGCGAATTAAATAAATCAATTACATATAAGATGTTCGGTAATAATCACGACGGATGAGGTGATTATTACCGAACACCCTACAAAATAATAGTGTTTAATATAGTGTTTAATATAGTGTTTTTATTCACTGTGATATAAAGATTAATATGCAAAGTGAAATAAAAAGTTAAGAATGGCAAGACATGTGCTGCGTGATTTCATATTTTTACGAACATGTGTAACAATCTACAATGGTGAGTACAACATAAAGATAAAGTCAAATATTGATTGACGCAGAGAGAGTGTGCAATTGCACATAAGAAATTTGTGGATTTTTGTTATTTTGAAGCTTCAATTGCTTGTATCGAGCAGCATCACGATTGATCTACTTACAACAATCGCCGATCTTGTAGGTACGCACAAATTCACTAATTGTAGATCATTGCGACTCTCATGCAGCGTGACTCTTCCATTCAATCTTCCCTGAAAAGCCCATCAAATTTTTAATTCGAGAGAAAATGGTTAAACTGATAGCTAGCCATTAACATTGAGAATTTTAATTGATAATGGCTTATTTTGATAATTTATAAGTATTATATATTAAAATTAATTTAGCAATTAATTTATTCATATTGTAATTTAATTATTGCTCTTTCTATTCGCACAAATATAAGTCAATTAACAATATTAGTTTAGCTCTATGTATTTTGTTATAAATGTTCCTTAATTATTTCATCATCGTTTCATCAATAATTTTGATATGTGCATATTCATTGAGGTCCACTTTTCTTCACTCTTTTTACTATGTATTCTGAATAAATCGGATAAGTTCTATAAATATGAGTGTTTATTGTGATCTACTTAATTTTAGACAAATTCTCATCAAAAGACAGTAGAACAATTATAGACCAAGTCGTCAATTAAAATTTCGACAATTATTTGCCATTACTTTAAAAGTTTAATTATTATTCGTAAAAAATTTTAATATAAAAGGAAGAAAATAATTACAGATAAAATTTAATGTAGATACGTGAATTTGACTAATTGTAAGTGAAAATGCACGATTTTTTTGGACAAGCCTTATATTTCATTTCGTCCTTGTACAGTCCAACTCTGTGAAAACACTAACTTAACATAATCCTTCAGGACCTGCCATAGATACACAATGTCCCATGTTTGCTCACAAGCGTCATCTACTTCACTACCTGCGTTATAAAGAATGATTCAAAAATCCATAGATTGAAATACTACACATGGAAGAATTCTTTAAAAATTAATATCTAATAGAATCTAAATAATAAAATTAATTCTTTGTTAAAATTAAAATTTTTGTGATTTTTTCCCAAGTTGAAATTTTGGAATACGGTTATAATTATTTAATTTCTATTTATATAGAAGTTTAAAGTTGAATAAACTCATATGTAAATACTTATTTATTCAAATAATTGTAGTATTAATTGTATCTATCCAGAGAAGAATAGGGATGTATGTGGGAAGAGGTTGGACGTATCTTTACGCCCATTTGGTCAACGAACGACAGAATCCATCCGTGGCAACGGCATTGACGCATATCCTGTGAAGAAAGTATTCACACATTTTTCAGCCTAACGAATAATTGCTAGAAAACAATATTCGCAGACTAGAAAAATATGTGAGGCGCAAGCGGCTGGATCGGGAATCCATGATAATGTTAAAGATCACATATTTTAAATAAAATATCATATTATCAAGATCTTCTTATGCAATTCGTGATTAATTTGTAATTACATTTGAATAGATAGTACATTTTATTTTATAATAAGGTAGCTTACAATTACCTAGCCTTGAAAAATGGTCATTCAAAAATTAAAGTTGCAAAAATGTATTTTTATTATATTTACTTTTATCGAAAGCTTTTATCATTATTTTGATTTATAAGTTTTAGGACATTTTCTACAGAAAATAAGCAAAATTCATAGCATTTTTAAGTTGTATAGTATATCTAATCTTATTCCTGCTAACGTCTATAGATTGCATATGATGAATAAAGGTCTTCTATATTATGTGTAAGCAGCCAATCATATGAACGCAATAGTATTAATATTGCTTGCGTCATGTGATTGGCTGCTCGCGACTAATTCAAAACAATCTTAAAAGATGGCAGTCGCCAGGATTCTAGTGAGTATTTATTTGAGCTAGCTACAGTGAGTGTATGTGTATGCGTATCAGTGTATATGTGTCTGCTATTCATTTATTTATTTACGATCTTTACTAGCTTGTCCCTTTTTTGTGTAATATTGAGGTGGATACAAGGATATTTTCTCGAGCCGTTTTATGAAGAATAATTTAGGGAAAAAAAAGTTTTATACCGATATCTCGGTTTCCTTCTCATCTTTTCTCATAACTTATAATTACGTAACAAACTCAATCTTCTTTCTTTTGATAAGAGCAAAAGATTTCATTGCAAGTACGAAATATTATAAATTTCTCATTTAAGGATGTATTGGACGGACCGTCTGTCTCAAAAGTTAATCCAAAATACCAAAAAATTAAAGTTGGACAGAATACGAATTCTAATTGATCAAAAATTGTCTAAAAATCACGAAATCATACTTCAAAGTATTCTTTAATGGTTCTTAAATAGGTCTTAATTTCCAAGAAAATATTGCCACGTTTTATCATCAATATTGCATCAAACCGATAATCACAGTTATTTTTTAATAATAATTTTAAAACGAGTAAATCATTTTACAACTTTGTGGGAACATTTTTACATGTATTAAGAATATACAAAATGAAATTTTTATCATTGTTTTTTTTATAGTTTGTAAATAATTTATTACCTGTCTCTTGAACGTTTACATAAGATCCTATGTTAAAATCGCAAAATTCAAAAATTAATAACTTTTAAAGGAGCAAGTAAAAAAATTTGAAATAATTCATGACGATTTAGAATATTATTAAGAATGTTAAATTAAAAATTTACGGCGATCTCATTGATTGTAATATATCTCCAATATATCCTTAATATAAAATATAAATATGTTAAAGTTTAATATTTTAATTCTCTAAATTCTTAAGAAAATAATTCTATAAAAATTATTAAATTATGTATAGATATAAAAATTATTTATATAGTATTTATATAGTATTTATATAGTAAGAAATTTGAAAAAATATATTTGTAATAGTAATCACAAATATCGTCATAGATTCTAATTATTGTTTATAAAATGCAAAATAATTTTTTGTTTGCAACACAATTATAATTTTACTGACTATATTTTATTATATTAGATATCAAATGTGATTATGATCCTTATACTTATTCGTGAATAAATAGAATGCAATGTCTTATAAGATATTTTTTCGGATAATAATATAAACGTTAATATAACGTCAAAATTTTTAATTCGATTATACTAAAATTAATGATTGAAATAAAATCATTCTGTATCTTGGCCATAAGAATTAAACGGCTTATTGCTCTTAAACGACAAGACAAAATAATGACACATTGTAATATCTTGAAAAAAAAGGCCGGAATTTTGCGTAACATAGCATTTTCCTACTCTTTTCATATTTATGTTTTATGTCGACATCTCATAAATAAATTCTGAAAATAATAAGTTGTCTAAGGAGAATCTATTATAATTTCTTGAAGAAAAGACCCAAAGAATATAAATGAAACACAGTTAGATGTACCTGGATATATTTAAAGGCGAATATATTATTAGGAGAAACCTTTGTAATTTTCTATGACTTTCCTTTACATGTCTAATCGCTTTCTTTTTCCTCAAATTCCTTTCTTCAATTCCCTGCTGATTTTTACTTTCTTTCTCTTTTTTTCGGATATTCAATAGTTATATATAATAGATACAATAGATACAATAGTTATATTACTCTTTACATACATCTGATTTAAATGATCTGACTTTGAATTCTTATGCTGTATTTCATAGAATAGGACAATTATATACAATAGAACGCATTTTTTTTCAGATGTTTAATGAAATATTTTTGTTCGTTTTTAAAAAAATATATATATTCAATATATACATTTTTCTATGAATATACATACATATATATAACTGCAGATTATAACATAATATCTCTAAAACACTAAAAAATTGGCTTATTAAAATATACTCTCTTTGAATCGAACAATTTTGAAAGCTCTTTGATCTTTTTCGTATCACTAAAGAAAATAGAAATATTCTAAGTGCTCTAGTTAGAAGAAATACTCTAAGAATAAACTTGCAGAAATATTTTTCACGAAATAGTAAGAAAAAAAATACTACGAAAATGTAAGGAATTTTACCTGAGAAGCTTAGACGATTAAATCAAATATGAAAAGTAAAATCTGTTTAGAATATTTCCTTTCCATCTTCCACTTTTATCTTTCATTTTTTTTGTTATTTATGGACAAATCCGTCTTTGGAAAATGTCAAGTGCTTTATGGAATAGTCAAATCAGCTATTTTGAGTGAGGAAGATTTTTCTATAATTGCAGTTATTTATTTTCAAAACTGATGTGATAATGTAAATAATCTTTCACTAAATTACAGCTTTGCAAAAAAATGGACTGTAAAACTACGTTAAGCTGCATTAAAAAAATATTCCATTTGAGAACAAAAATACAGTCATAATTAAACTGTAGAAGTTTGGAATTTTGAAATTATGTTCATTATGTTAAAAATAAATTATAAAAGAATCTGAATAACAAATGTTTCTATGTAAGAATACAAAAATAAAATTTTTTCTTTACGTAATATATAAAATGGAATTAACTGAAAAATATAGTTGTGTTAATTTTGTAACTTTTTACAAAATTCGCGAAAAATTTTTTTTTTAATCGTTTATAACATGATAATTGATATGTCAATGTTTTTGCTGAGAAAAAATCGTCTCCAAATTTATTGAAAAATCCTTTAAAAGCCTTTAAAAGAATTCAGAGATTTTAGGGTGTTCTATGTGTAAGATTAATATACGGTATTCACAATACAATCACACAATAGATTGTATCACGATGGATTCTTCAAATTACAATAGGGCGAGATGGAACACATTTCGATTGCAGTCGCGCTCGCGTCCAATTAGTTTACTATAAGCATCGAAGTCACCAAAATAGCTCACGCCGCATCGCGTTAACTATGTTATCGTCAGCGAATGCTAGGTTCGTGAAACTTATGCTTGAAATTTGTTGTCACCCGGTTGCATTTCAGTAATTCGACGTTTCAGTAATTGCACGTCTGCCTCATTACGATAATTGCCGTTGCAATCTGAGTCGCGGGATTCTCTGGCCAAGATGGCCAAACGTATGTGCTGCGCATTCAATTTGGAAATATAATCGCCAACAGAGATACAAAGTACACGGTGAAAAGTAGTCAGTGAAAAGGGAACAAGTGGACGCGGCGTATAAGTCTAACACAGAAAGTAGGGCACAAAAGAGGAGTTCCGCACAGGTATCGCATCAAAGTTGCCTCATAATAACAAGACTCATTC